TTTTATTGCGATTTCCGACCCCCCCCCTAATTAATTAAACATATATATAATAAAATCTATTAATTAAAAAAATTAAAAAACTATCGGAGGTCGTTTTTGACATCAGAAAGCAGCTTTAAATAACTTTACCGAAGGAAAATCGGTGCAGTACAACTTTAGAACGATTAATTAATTTTGATAAAAAACTCCCATTAAAAAAACATTAAAAAGCAATAAAGCGTGAAGCGCGCGTCATTAAAGGTTGATTAAAATCGCTATAAAATTTTTTCGCGCAGGAAAAAAATTTTGAAAAAATTTGGGGGGACCTAAAAACATTCCAAAAATAAAAGAAATTTTTTTTCGGGGGCCCAAACGCCCGGTTTTTTAACGCTATAAACCTTGCTCGAGTCAGACTCGAGCGTGGGTCGGAAGGGGTTTGTATGCACAGCAACAGCTGAGTCTTGCCATTAACACCCCAATAGTTTGTTACTGCCAGTAAAGTGTTCCAACAACATTCATTTGCAGTGATTCCATGAGAGAGAATCATGGGCTGCTATGGCAATGTATTATCTTTAGCTAAAAATCCAGATTCTGTTTGAGAAGAAATCACCACCATATTAGTATGGAGGACCACTGGAATCTCACCATTACTGTTGAATGGCAGACTGTCCCCACACAGCTTGCATGGGGAGCAATCTCAGATGACAGCCAATCATACCTAGTAGTGGAGAAAGGAATGTTGACAGTGCTACGTTCAGGAATAATCAAGAAATTATTATGTACCCTCATGTGTTCTCAAACAAAGAATGTTTAGCTGCTCACCGCTAGGGTTCCCCAAAAATATCTATCATGTTATCACATTTCCTCAGCTGGCTTAGTCTCCAAATTTGGCCTTCTACAAGCAAGAGGCATCTGTGGGCAAAGCTGTCAGGATAAGATACAGTACATATTGCCACATACATCCAGGCAAGAGGTAATCCTACAAGATACTAAAGGTTTCTTTAAATTGCAGTATTGTTCTACAGGAAATTGTCCCATTATTAGTGCAAATATAATATGATTCAAATGTTTCCTCCTTGATGCATAACTGTTTTTGTCAATGATTATATTTTTAAGTTAATCAAATGAAATGACTGCTAATGAAATGCAACTTGTATACAACCCTGTATGAAATACTGTATTTTAAAATGTTATCAATTATAATAATTTAATCATAAGTTTTCAAGAATTTTATAAAAACATTTTAAAGAACATTATAGAAAAAACTAAAGTTTGAAAAATGTCAATATAAATAAGTACAGTACATATATTCAAATCCTTTCCACTTAAGTATTTTATGAAAAACTATATAAAACTTTGATTTTTATACTTAAAGAATTGATTTATATCTCGATAACATTAAATCTAAATACCAAAATAATTAATTTACTGTGTTTTTGTTATTTATTACTCCTGTTTTTAGGTATTCGGTCGAATAGTGATTAAATATTTGGTATTCGGCCGAATAGTGAAAAATAGGCCGAATACCGAATAGTAACCGAATATTCGTTACATCACTAATATTAACTTTATTACACAGAAAAATAATTTTCTTGATCTAATCTATAGACTGATTGATCATTTTACACAGATACCAAATTGTCATTAGCTAAGAAAATAGATGTCATTTATTAGATTTTTATCTATAAAATAAGTAAATTTCTAAAATTAATATAGGTCATAAATAATAAAAAATGGTATCCTCCAAAAGTCACAAAACTTATCAGTTTTAGTCTTTTTGCCACCAGGAAATTCAATATGGCACAAACAAAATTTCTTTGCAAAACTATAGTCCCAACTCTATACAGTCTGTCTTCTATAAGAAATTTAAACCTAAAGCTGTTACCATTTTTTTACATATCTTTCTTTTAATGTAGAGGAAAACCAACCTAATCTAATCTAAATAGGAAAACAATAGTGATATAAGTGACTTATTCATTCACCTTTTACAGGTTACTAACACCACTGCTGATAATACTGAGGACTTTTACAAAAAAAAAAAATTGTTTGAAAATCATAAATTACACATTGGAGCATAATGTAATGTAATTATGAAGAACTTGCTCAGGAAATTCATGCAACACTATTATTTCTTTGTCAATTAAGATACATCAGTGATCATCTTCAATTTAGACATGTTTGATGTCTTGAAAGTGAAACATTGTGAAGTTGGCAAAATTTTCTATTAAAACTTTTAATTATAGAACCTGATTTTAAAATAATATTGGGAAGGCAAATATGCCCAAAACTCAAAAGGAAGATATGACTATATCAGACTTAACATATACTATTCACAGGGCTAGGATATGTGAGGAATAGTTGCTTTATGATAGATTTAAACAAGTGCACAACTTTCACCAGTCATTCTCCTAAGAGAACTTTCAAATTTTAAAGAATTCGCTATCATCTTGACAGAATCATGATTCTACTATTGATACAACTCTAATAGTACCATGTGATAAGACAAAAATGGTAATAAACATTCAAGGATTTTTCAATTTCACTTTATTTTGTCATTAAAATATCACATTATTTTTCCTTTTATAGAATTATATATATATATATTATTTGATTTTATGATCTTTTTATATATAAATAAAAAGAATTATAAAATTAAGTCAGGCTTCTGAGATGATAATTAAATAAGACTCACTTGTATTGATCCCAAACCAATTCCAATGCCAACAACAATCTTCAAGTTATTTTTTATAAAATCTTCCATAGCATCAATACAACCCTATAAAGGAAAAATATTCCTAATAAATAAATACATGATAATACTCAAAATATGTATATTTTAATTCTGTAAAAACTTCAAATAATAATCACAAAACATGAAAATATCAATTCATTTACAATCATTAATTTTTTTTCATTATGAAATTTTATGTAGTAATAATTTTATTTGTTATAGAAGTTTTTCTTTACTCATTTGGTTATGTTTGTACAGTTTTATTGTTATGAAAATATAAAATTTTATTTTATGATTTTTATATTCATAAAATCAATCAATTACAGTTACAAACCTTTGAGTAAACTGAATCTCCTAAAACTCCATTTAGTGGCATTTTCACACATGTTTCTGGATTCTTGCAACAAGATTCTGGTACTTCATATGTCCCTAATTTTTTTGATAATTTATCAATCAGTGAAACATCAGTTCTCCATTTGTTGAAATTAGATTCAGCCCAGTCTTCTGGCTTGTTAGCTCCACAACATTGAAGCTAAAATGAATACAGTTACTTTAAAAATTTTAAAAACAAAATAAATAAAGTATGTAACATGTATAAGTATGTTTATTAACCCCTTTTTTCCACTTGTTTAAAAAAATTTTTAATTAAACATAAAAAATACTTAAAACTGAAAAAAACGAAAGAAATGCGTTAATTTTGGTTAAAAAGCTTCATCATTTAGTTTCCTTTGTCTCGCCTTTCTGTGAAATTTAACACCAATGAGTCATTGTTTACACATCTGGATGACCTTGAATACAGCTGGAGTCGGATTTCCCGGGACATTCTCATAGACGTCTCGAGAGGACAAGTGTTTAAAATAGGGTGACTAGTAACTAGCCCTATATTTTTAAAAAATTATAATTTTTATTGCGATTTCCGACCCCCCAATTAATTAAACATATATAAAATAAAATCTATTAATTAAAAAAATTAAAACTATAGGAGGTCGTTTTTGACATCGGAAAGCAGCTTTAAATAGCTTTACCGAAGGAAAATCGGTGCACTATAACTTTAGAACGATTAATTAAATTTGATAAAAAAAAACTCCCATTAAAAAAAACTTAANTAAAAAACTCCCATTAAAAAAACATTAAAAAGCAATAAAGCGTGAAGCGCGCGTCATTAAAGGTTGATTAAAATCGCTATAAAATTTTTTCGCGCAGGAAAAAAATTTTGAAAAAATTTGGGGGGACCTAAAAACATTCCAAAAATAAAAGAAATTTTTTTTCGGGGGCCCAAACGCCCGGTTTTTTAACGCTATAAACCTTGCTCGAGTCAGACTCGAGCGTGGGTCGGAAGGGGTTTGTATGCACAGCAACAGCTGAGTCTTGCCATTAACACCCCAATAGTTTGTTACTGCCAGTAAAGTGTTCCAACAACATTCATTTGCAGTGATTCCATGAGAGAGAATCATGGGCTGCTATGGCAATGTATTATCTTTAGCTAAAAATCCAGATTCTGTTTGAGAAGAAATCACCACCATATTAGTATGGAGGACCACTGGAATCTCACCATTACTGTTGAATGGCAGACAGCTTGCATGGGGAGCAATCTCAGATGACAGCCAATCATACCTAGTAGTGGAGAAAGGAATGTTGACAGTGGAGAAGGAATGTTCAGGAATAATCAAGAAATTATTATGTACCCTCATGTGTTCTCAAACAAAGAATGTTTAGCTGCTCACCGCTAGGGTTCCCCAAAAATATCTATCATGTTATCACATTTCCTCAGCTGGCTTAGTCTCCAAATTTGGCCTTCTACAAGCAAGAGGCATCTGTGGGCAAAGCTGTCAGGATAAGATACAGTACATATTGCCACATACATCCAGGCAAGAGGTAATCCTACAAGATACTAAAGGTTTCTTTAAATTGCAGTATTGTTCTACAGGAAATTGTCCCATTATTAGTGCAAATATAATATGATTCAAATGTTTCCTCCTTGATGCATAACTGTTTTTGTCAATGATTATATTTTTAAGTTAATCAAATGAAATGACTGCTAATGAAATGCAACTTGTATACAACCCTGTATGAAATACTGTATTTTAAAATGTTATCAATTATAATAATTTAATCATAAGTTTTCAAGAATTTTATAAAAACATTTTAAAGAACATTATAGAAAAAACTAAAGTTTGAAAAATGTCAATATAAATAAGTACAGTACATATATTCAAATCCTTTCCACTTAAGTATTTTATGAAAAACTATATAAAACTTTGATTTTTATACTTAAAGAATTGATTTATATATATATATTCTTGTTGGTTTGCACTTTATACAAATCTTCATTCTGAAATAGATCTGAACCAAAGTTTGTATGATTATTAGTTATACCCTGGAATCGACACTAAGCTATATTACTCCAAAATGTTGGGGAAGTATACACATTCTGCATAAAACTTACTGCCTTTAAATGTAGTGCACTGCTGTATAAACCCAGTGGAGTTTTTAAATTCCTTGATACCAGCTGAACTACCACGTCATAACCTAGAACAGTAGGTTGGAGTACCAGTAATGGTTTTGTGAAATTTGGATCACCAAAATTATGCAATGGGATGTCTTGGGTCCTTAGTCTCAAGTTTTTCATGTTGTACTCGAATTGACGTCATTGAACTCACTTGTGTTACTACGACTCACATAATCGGTAGTCTTGAGTTAGACCCATCAAGTGAACTCAAAAGGCGAGCGGAATTAGGCCATATTCACTTGTGTTGTTAAGCATGATGGGATTATTTACAATTCATCTGTGTTTGCGACTATAATGATTTGACCAATCAACTTAACTGTAACAAGTTGTAAACAAATCAACGTGAATTAGTTTACATGTGTTATAGTTAAAAAGTTTTGTCTTATAGCAATATAGCACTTAGAAACAAAATGAAAACCTCCAATGTTTTATTTTAAAAAATAAGCAAAAAGAAGAAAATGAAATATTAGTAACATATATAGAAAATAATAAGAAAATGAACAGTGGAAAATTTGACAACAAATTTACAAGAAAAAGACAATTTGATTTGTGAAGAGAATTAGTTGAAAAATTAATTGTGTATTGGAGCTAAAAATCCATTGTGTAATGGAGAAAGTATTTTAATTTAATCCTTTTTTCATATAGTTTTCTTCCTTGATCTATTTCTTAAATTGTTTTGTTTATTAAGATTATTTATTAATCAGAACACTTCTGATTAATAAATAATCTTAATATAGTGTCTATGGTCTAATAATTTATACATATAATTTAGTATTATTTTAATTCTCTTTTTCAATGAATTAGATACTTCTTTTTATTTTTGGAAAATTTGCTGTATAATTTTATCAATTATGAATTAAATTTTTTTTATTAGTGTTGACTTGACATGAAAAGAAATGGCATCTACTTGTGGTCAAAAAATTCATTGCCTTCTTAAACAACTCTCTTGGCTCTTTCTAATGCTTAGATTGCGATCAGATTAGCATATCTGTCAGCCATTTTCACTTTCATGAAGTGATCTCATATGCAACTCAATGTGAGCAGCAATGGGAAAGCATATGAGTTATAACTCTAGACTACTGATTTGACGTCAGATTGTGAGATGGTACCACGTGACACCAACATGTTCGGAGTTGTAACACAAAAAACTCAAGACTAAGGGTCCTGAACTGTAAATTGTCTTCACAACCCTAGAACTAACTAACTATTTCCAATAAATATTTTATTATTCACATTAAAAAGTGCAAAAAGCAAAGTACAGTAGTACAGTAATAAAAGTAGAAGAGATTTTTTTTGTTCTAGTAAGCAAAGATGGGTTGGACCTCCAATTGTAGAGCAATTCAAACATCTTGTTTTAGTGGACCATTGTACTTTACTCAGAAAATAAGGGTTAAAATTTAAGAATGCCCATCCCTTCAAATGGACGTGGTCCCATAAAAACAAATGATAGTTTGCATATTGGGGAGTGAACCAAATTTGGCTCCTGTTTTACTCTTGGCACCAAAAAATTTTTTTTACTTTTTCAAACAATCTTCAACAGAAAAAAAAATCCACAAATTTCTTTTAGCTTTGTTTTGGTTAACCACTCTGATATACTGCTCCATATTTAAACAGCAAATGCAGTCTCCTACTCATTTTATTTGATTTGAAAATAATTTAGATCATAAATTTTATTTACAAAAATAAATTAATTTTATTTAACTTTATTTAGTAAATTAATTCAAGATATTATAATTTAGAGATTTCTATTACCTATTAATCCTTAACCCCATAAATTATACAACCTTGACCACAACCCTGAAAATTGTTAATACAAACTGTTGAAAAAAAACGAACTAACTAGCAATTCATATTAATGCAAGTTGACTCTGCATTGGTCATATGAATAATCATAAAATACAGAAACTATGCAAAAAAAAATAACAATTGGCAATTATTCTATTTCAAGTGTAAATAAATTATGCCTTAGTATTGTATTTATAGCATAAAAATTAAACTAATTGGCCTGTTTAGAAATAACCATGAAATCACAAAAATAGACAATACATAGCTTAAATCTCAGCACATTGTCACTAAACATTCGATTGTTACACAACAATTTCACATAAAATTTAGAATGAAACAAATGTACTTCTGTGGTTATCACTCTTGGGTGACTTATTTGTCCAAGTGGGAAACTACTGTGTTTGGCATGATGGATACAATAAAGGAACACATCAAATTTGCAAAACTGGCAGGAGTTGTTAGACTATCAGATGAATGTTTAGTGATCTAGGGTAAAATTTCTTATACCAGAAGTTGTCTTTAATAAAATTTTAAAAAATGCTCTTCCTCTTTCTATACTGGATTTTATTCAACTTACAATGTTTATCTTTATTAACTCAAAAATAAAATAAAAATTTGTGGTGTATGCCTTGTCTAACTCAAAAAAAAAAGAAACCCCCTCTCAGTTTTTTAGCAGTAAATAAATTAATGAGATTGTGAGAATTGAAACACTTAAAATTTGTACAAAGCTTTTAAAATTAAAATGTGTATGTATTTTATGTATTTATTTTTATAAAAATATACAAGTTTCTAATTTAAACTTGTGAGTTAACATAATAAGAAGCTAGTTTAAAAGCTAAAGAAAGCAAAAATTTACACACATACAATGTTAAAATAAAGGTTTAAAGTAAGTATTTTCACTCTGTAAATTCTGAAAAAAGTTTTGCTATAAAAATTTAAAAAATATCAACACAGAATCAAGCAGATAATTTGTCAGCTTAAAAAAAGTTATATGAAAATTGAAGTACATGATTTAATTAAACCTTTATTTTAGTTTAATTTATTTTAACATTGTATATGTGTAAATTTATAGTTAATTTATTTATTATAATAATATTAAGGAAATGCCCATTCAAAAATTATATTTTAGTTTCATATGTGATTGCTAAATCATCATCATCATCAATCATTCCCTAATATGATTTTGTGTTTTTTTTTTAAATTAGTTTTTTAATAGCTTTAAATTTTTGAATAAATATACTTACGTCATGCTGAATAGCATCAATTGTATTGTTTGCCACTGTACTATTACCATATTGTTTCTGAATGATTTTTGTTAATTCATCTGCAATGACTTTTTTAGCCTAAAAGAGAGAAAAATTTTATCTATAATTTATAAAGTTTATTACAATGTTTAAAACATTAAAGTAATAACAACAACAATCAGCAGCAGTATAATAATATAATATTTATTATATTTTGATAGGCCTATTTAATTGTGAAATTATCAACTTTTACAGTGATTTATTATAATCATATCTAAGTTCATGCAATATTTTTAAGTTTAAGAATATTCATTTTGTTGAAATATATATATGCAGAATTAAATCTTTAAAAATATTAAAAAAATGAAAACATTAATTTAAAGTTACACTAATTATTAAAAGCATAAGAAATTTAAGAAATGAGTATATGTACACCCAGCATCTTACCTCTTCTCCCTATGAAAATCAGTATGAGAGCAAAAAAAATGGAAGTATCAAAATATATCATCATCATTATGATGATATGTCCAGATTTTTAATGTTAAATAAATTAATAATAAAGTAATATTTACATTGAAAAACAAAGTATACTATACAATAATAAATTCATTTTAAGAAATTTTTATATTATTAGATCAAATTCACTTCAGATATTATATTTCTTATTACAAATAAAAATTTTTAAAATTTTACCTTTCTCAGAATTAAAATGATTAAATTAAAATAGTTCATCCTTCAAAGTTCTTATATTTATAAGTTTAGTTTTTCCACATTTTAATTTTAATATTAAATTTTTCATCTTAACAGTAATTTGAAATTTCAACAAGTTCTAAATATGCATTAGTTGTAATTACACTTATTCCTTAGATAAAAGTTAAAATCGTTGCTATTACTTTTATGGCATTTATTTCTAAATATTAATGATGTACAGGAAATCTCAACTTCATTCTTACAGGAAAAATTAGAATATACGGTGGTAGCTCAGGATATGAATGCCCCAGCATACGAAATTTTCAGAATACGACATGAAATTTGAACATAATTTTGCTCCACGGTACGAACAAAAACTCACCATACGATGATACATTATTTCACAGCACCATTTTTTTTATTCACTTCTGTTCATTGGTCTCAGTCTGCATGTTTGCTTTGTCATGGAAGGATCTCATTCGATAAAGGAAATCTTGAGGTATTATCAGAAAGTGACTGATTTTATTGAAAAGAAACATCCTGAAAAGGTTCACACTGGCCGTATTGCTGCTTGGAGTAATGACATTTGCCTAAGTCATTTTAGAAACATTTTAAAAAGTAGACAAAGACAAACCTCTTTGGATAGATATTTTACCAAGCGACCTCTATCCAGTGAAAGTGCTGGTGGAAGTGAAGAAAAGAAAGCAAAAAGCAGTGAATAAAAAATTAAAAACAAATATATATATATAAAACAACACTAAATTTTTAATCTTTTCTAAGTTATTTTTAAGTTATTGTTACATTATGTTATGTAAGTTAAGTTTTAGTATCATTTCCCTTCTCCCTCTCTTCTGCCACTAGTTTACACCTCCACCATCGTCTATCCTCAAAGGTAAAGTGCAAATAAAACTACATTTTTTTTTAATCAATTATTATTCTATTATGGTTATTTATACATTTACAATTACAAAATGCATTTTTCAGTGTTTTCCTTATAAAAGTTATTTTTTTTAATGTACTACTTAGCTTTAATTTGAGTGTGTTTTCATGTTGGAACAAATTATTTGGGTTTACATGAAATCGTATGGGAAAAAATGATTCACCTTATGACATTTTCATGATACGATCTTAGTTTCAGAACGGATTAATTTCGTATCCTGAGGTACCACTGTATATATCATGTTGTATAGTGCAAAAATGTGCAATATGGATTTGATATACTCCATTCAGGAAATCGTTTCAATTTTCTAGATCTCATCCATATTCTTACTCCCTCCTGGAAGTTGTCTGAAATTTATTTATAACATGTACACATACACACACATCATTTATAATCTTGAACAAATTTGTGTTCTTTTCAAATTATCATGACCAATGCATTAAAATGTATGTTTTCATACATATTTGAATGTATCGGAACGTGATAGTTTCCATCATTATCATCATCATCATGTGCAAGTAACAGGAGTAACACAATACCTGCTTCCATAATGATTTTGCTTATGGGACACCCTGTAATCAATTTAAGTAATAATGTGCTGTATATTGTGAAATCATTATAAATTCATTGTAAATCTACAATGATTCAAATGTAAAACAAATTCTTTACTTGACCAAAAGTCTTAATCTTGCTTAATCTTAACTTTAATTAATATAAAGTATATTTGTCATCTGAAAATTGAATTTTGGATTACTATAAATCTTAATATATTAAAATTTATAAGCTTCAATCTTTTCATCATTAAATAAATTTTATATTAAAAAATATATAAACATTAGTTTTTATATATAAATCACAATATCTTAAGATAATTTACCACAAAAAAAAATAATAAAATGATTTAATTCAAACAAAATAATAAAAAAGACAAAATAAAAAATTTAGAATCATCTCCATCTTATAACAAGAAATTATCTTAAAATAATTTAGATTTATCTATCACTATTAAAAAAATTACAAATAATTGAATATAAAAAAATATGCAGCTTTATGCACAGATTAAGATATTTTAAAATTACCATTTTACAATTATTAAAATATTAAAAGAAAAGCAATGTTTGTAACTTAATGTAAGTATTACATTTAAAAATTTATACAATCATGTAAATTTAAGTACAGGAAATAAAACAGACAGCATTTGTGAGTTTTTCCAAAACTTACAAATGCAGAAGATAAATTAATAAATATCATAAATGCAATATATCCATAAAGAAATGAATGGACACAACAATCAACAATAAAGAAAAATTACTTATATCTATCTGAATTATTTCTTTAAGTTAAATTTGTTTTTTAAGAACACGAGGAAAAACACTCACTCTGTTATGATATTAAAAAGAAAAATGTAAATATTATTAATTTAAATAATGGCATCAATGTTGATGCATGTTGAGATAAATTTGTAAACTATAAATGTACTGCATGTAAATTGCATTGTATCGCTGAAGAGGCATTGTCACTTTGGAAAAATGCATATGATATTGTATAATGTTAAAGAGAGTTGTATAATGAAAAAGAATAAATTCCTTTCTTATAGGTGGCATTGAAATATGTTAATCACCTCCCTAAAGTGGGAACAGATTGAGTATTTTTCCTAATGTTTTTTAAAAACATTTAAATTTCTCACCCCATTAGATATTTTAAATTTTATTGCACAGCTACTTTAACACCATCTAGAGACATATTAAAGTTTGGTAAGCAAGATGTTGGAAGTTGGTTTGCTCAATTGAACTGTGTACAGTACAATTTGATATTTTCCGCTATCATGCAAAAAAGTATTAAGGAAAAGTAAAGGGTGGGTAAAGAATGTTTCGTTACCATCATTTCCCCATAAAAGATGTAAATATTTACATGACTAAACAATAGCAAACAGTGGGAAAAAAATCAAGAGGAAGATTCATGAAATAAATACATTGTAAAAAAATGAGAAATTAGTTTTGTAAAAGGACAATGCATTAATTGAAGAAAAATCTACAAGTTAAGAGTTTTCAATAGCTTATTTATAATATAGTGCAATCCCAAAGCAGCTCTGTAGTAGGTAGGGAAATGGGAGGAGTTTGCAGGAATGAAGTAATGAAGTCACAGGCACGGTCCACTGTGAAGCAACTTTATGATTCCACTGCAATAATTTTAGAAAAACCAATAATCTGCTTTACTGAAGTCAATAAACACAAAAGTTTATATAAATATAAACTCAGAATCCTTCCCTATCACTTTCAGGCAAGTCTTTCATCGGTTATAAGTTCAAAGGAGTCAGACCTTAGAAAACAGTTTTAAACATTAATAGATATTTATCATTCTTCGAATAATAGGCTCAAGATATTTTCAATTGTTTGGATAGCAAATAATTTCTGCAGTTAAATTATCAATATTCACATTATGCTAGAAGAAATTGTTTCTGAACTAATTGATCTTTATAATGTTCTACTAAATATGATAAAAATCTGAAGAAAGTAATGAGTAACTACTGTATTTAGAAGATAAAATTTCTATTTTGCATTCATAGATAACTAATTGACATTGTCTCTGCATGAATATAAAAGAAAAATAATAGAAAAAGAAATTAAAGTCTGTTTAAGTGTAACAAGGTTGACTGCAAGAATTAACTGTTTTTAAAGAAAATTTTAATGATTTTTTAATTTATGAAAACTTTTAAAAACAAACAAATTCATAACTTTCCATTTCCTTCCCCAATTGCAATTGGGCAAAAGGATGAAAAGGCCTGATATGAATTTTACTGTCAATACTGTAAAAATAAGTTTCAAATAAAAATTAATATTTTAAGCCTCAGGTTTAAAATATTAATGGAGTTATAACATCAATTCGTAGGCAAATATTACAGCAATAAACATGTCTTTCAAAGAACCTTAATTGAATTCTATGAGATTTTGAATTCAAAATAAAACTTTTGAACTAATGTTCAAATCTACAAATAGAGATGATTTCAGATCTGTAAAACAATGACTTTTTAGAAAAATTAAATGAAATAAATTCTTGAATATACAGAAAAATAAAAGTAAATATAAATGTAATTAGAAGTACCAAAAATAAAAATCTATTCACCAAAGAACCTTTTATTCTAACCAGCAAGAGTTTGGAATTCCAATATAGAACGAAAAATGGGAGACTGAAGCAAACTTAATTAGGCTGAAAATGTTTGTCGAAATTTACATGAAAAATTAAACTCCTGTTGATTGGAATAAAAGTTTTTTAATGAGTAGATTGAAGTGTCCAGCTTTTGAAAGATTATGCATAAAAATAAACAAGAACATTTTGTTACAATGTCTTTTCATCATGCTGTTACATCATAGTTGATCACATGATCATATAAAGATTGCCATGTATAAAATAGTCGTTTTTCATCTTTAAAATTAATGCAATAGCCATTATTGTCAGATTTGAATATTTCCAATGTTTCAAGTATCTTGATGACGTTTCATTTTTCATTTAAATCTGGACAAATGTTTTTGACCTAATCAAGATACTTGGAGCATTGAAAATATTTAAATCTGACAAAATATCTAAATCTCCATTTGTAGATTGAAAATATTAGTTCAAAAGTTTTATTTCATATTAAAAATCTCACTGGGATTCAATTAAGGCTTTTGTAGACATGCTTATTAAAATATTAATAATTAATGGCTTAAAAAATTTAACAAAATCAAAAAAGTTCAAGCAAGCATTAGGAAAAATAAATGAGAAACCAGTGTCCAATAAATATATAGCAGGTTTGATTTTTGCTGTTAATTATAGTTTTTGGAAGTAAAATGATCAGATCAAAAATAAGATGCAATTTAGTTATTGGAAGTAAGGATAATTTTTATATTATTTATAACAAGAAGAAAAAAAAAGTGAGATGGAAATTTGTATTTGTGAAAAATAGATTCTTTACAATGAATCAGTTTGAAGTGTGTCATAATTGAATTTGAAAAATTCCAAAGAAACAAGCTAGAAAATTTATATACTGTATTTAAAATTTCTCTACACTATGGAATCTTTAATTACTGGTTTTGCTGTACTCATTTCCATTATTTTATGAAAACTAAAACACTCATAAATACAAAGTTTGCTAACTGCCATAAGGATTGTTTATTGATTTTTATTGGGAGCAACACTAGATGCACAAGCAGCATAATGCTAAGTCATTTGAAAGCATCCAGGTTCAAATCAAGGCATCCAGGCTCTCAGTTTTTTGGTCCTAGAGTGGGACACTTACTTGTTGGTGCCTTTATGCTTTGCTTTCCATGCTTATTGCCTAACAAAACCCAATTTTTATAAAGTGAAAAAGAAAAAACTTTAAATATTTACAGACTTATTTTTTTAATTCATTAATTAAGTTTTTCATAAAGATTAATTAATCCTCATAGAAATTTACAGAAGGTAGTTTACAGTATTTATTTCTAAATTTCTGTAAGGATTTATAGGGAAATAGAAAAAGCTTACACTGTCTACAAATCAGTCAAGATTTCAATAGAGTAAGCTGGCAATACATAGTAAAGTAGTGACTATTACATAGTTTTTTTTTAAGCAATTTCTGATGGTTGAGATACTGGTCAACCAAGCAGCTAATATTTTTGTCTAGGATATGTAGAATATAAGTATGTATTGTATTCCCTATGAAATAAACATTCTCTATTGTAGCAGGTCCTAATCTTTTCCAGTGTACCTTTCATGAAAATATATTCTCTATCAACTGGATAAATAGACAAGAAAAATGCACCTTTAAAAATCCAGCAAATAAATTTACTAATAAAAAGTTTTTGATTGGTTTAACTGATCCTCTTCAGTTACAATGAAATAGAATGTGAATTTAAAAATAAACGATAAATGATAATAAACTGTCAAACGATTGCCTAAATATTGGGCTATTATATGGCTAATTAAATGATTAGAATAAAGTAATTTGTCATTAGAGGTAGGCGTTAGGCGCCATCTCTTAAGTAAATTAATAATTAAAATTAAATAAATAAATTATTAAATTAATTTAGAACCTTCTGGAATAAAAGAAGGTTCTAAATTAATTTAATAATTTATTATAATTTATTAATATTTGAACCAAAACTTGTAAGTTGTGCATAGTGGCACCCACATATACAAGTTTTGGTTCAAAATGCTGGTCGATTAATAGGATTGAGTAAAACCCCGTGGCCAAATTAAGGTCATACGGTTTTTTTTTATCATTCCTTAAAATTCTGAATATCATTGGGTTGCGTCGATATACAACATGGAGATTATTAGATTATAAGAAAGTGGCCAGAGCTAATATGTGCCACTTACAACGACTCAAAGAACATAAGTATACAATTGATAAAAATCTCGATAGCACTGCGCTGGTGGCTTACGCTCAACATCAGGACATTCATTACAATGGGTACAGGTATCGATCGTCAAACCAACACTGAATATAAATACTATGAGATATCTTGAAAGATTGGAGATTTTTAAAGTGCACAAAAAGCCAGTTGCATCAACCATAGAGATGTCGATAACTTAGCTACCGCATGGCAGTCTTTTTATGAAAATTAATTTTATTAAGGGACATTTCTTTTGTCTATTTTTACCTTTTATTGTTTATTTTATTTCTGTAGTTAGTTATTTATCATTCACAACTATGATTTCAGTTATGTATTTTTATGTATTTACTTTGGAATTATCATTTATTTTTAAATTTATGTTCTATTTTTACATTCTATTTCATTGTAACTGAAGAGGATCGGTGAAACTAATCAAAAACGTTTTTATTAGTAAATTTATTTGCTGGATTTTTTAAGTTGTGTTTTTCTTGTTTTCATGAAAATGTTCATAAATCAAAAATAATTAGAAAATACAACTCCAAAATAATGCAAAGAAAATATTAATGGAATAATAAACTGCAAAAATTAATTGTTCAAGCATTTTTGCACTTATCTGCTTATTTTCAAAAACTCAAAGAATGTCCTGTTGCTATGGAAGAATATACTTGAGAAAAAAATCATTGCTTTAGTAAATGATGTTATTTAATGATTATATAAATTATTGTATTTGTTTGTAATAATTGTGTTTTGTATTTAAGTTGTTCATGGTATATAGACAGGATAGAAGGAAAGTTCTCACTATATAGAGATCTTTTAGGATTCTTAGAAGTCAATGTCTAGAAAATAGATTAAATGTATTTTGAGAGAAGTTTAAAAATCTAGAATAATTAGTTAATAAACAGGAACTCTAATATTTTGGCAATACTCTGGAAGTGCCTCACAATATTACCAGCTACACTTCATTAAATGATTTCATGTTTTGCTCATGTAACTTAAAAATTAATTAATTATCTATCTATCTATATATATATATATATATATAAATGGACATGTATGTCCCTATATTTCACTTTTCTGCCAAAACTACACATCGCACGTGAATGGTGTTTGTATGTGGTAGTAGCCCCAAGTCTCCATTCCTGCACCAGGGGGGTTGTGTCTCGATAGCTATAAGGGTGTGGGAGATATAAGGCTGAAAGTGGTTGAAAGTGGCTTTCTATTTCAAATGTTTTGTTCGAATTAAATTTGAACATAAAATTCGAATATCGGTTCGATTATAGAACGATTGTAAACGTTCCAGAAACGTTGAAAATAGTTCGTTTGACTTGATGTGAACAGGAGACATCCAAAAATAGAATCGGGACCAGGTCTCTAATTAGTCTGGAAACGGGGTATCTAATTCTTGCATTCTGTGAAAACGGGTAAGATTGGCTATAATGTAATTATCTTAATCTTCACTATCGTTACTTTTTAAAAACCCAGCGAAGCGGGTCCTTGCAGCTAGTACAATATAAAATTAAATTTATCTATGATAACAAGAGATTTCCTCTCAGTATTCTTTTTTTTTTTTTTTTTGGTCACTTATTATGTATAAAATGAGAAATTTTCAGTCATAAATCCTTTGTTTGTACAGTTTTAGAATGTCCCTCTCTTCTATGTTGCCTGAAATGGCAATAAGCCTGGCAGGGGAGAAGAGAGGTGGTATGTATTGACACGTGGTTGAGAGACAATGCTCTTTGATGCCAACACGGGAGGAATACTATGAGAGGGATCAGCAACAAAGATATTAGCGAGGTTGAGGCCGAAGTTTTAAACGTGTACGCTGGACGTTCAGCGCTACTTTCCTGTAAGCCTAGAAGTTTGACAATGGTGTTTGGAGTGTCAAGCATGATTCCACTGACTATCCAAACACAATTGTCAAACTTCTAGGCTTATAGGAAAGCGGTGCTGAACGTCCAACGTACACGTTTTCACGTTTAAAACTTTGGCCTCAACCTCGCTATTGTGCAGAACAGAATCCATATACTTGGAGAGTATATGGATTCTGTTCCAATCGATGAGGTGACGCAGACAAGACTATGTGGCATGAGGTTTAATGGAAGAAATGTCTCCTCTCCTCTATCTGTGTACAGTGCCGGCCCGAGGTAAGTTTTAGGATGGAGCGAGATCCTATCATGGCGCCCCCCTTGGTTGCCCCTAATTTATACCAGTGATGCATGCAAGCAGATCCATGCCGTAGATTTCCTCAGTGTGATGCAAGTCTTCGAAATGCCACCCCTTAAATGTTTTTCTCTAAAATACCTTCGGTTGTGATTTAAAAAACTGCACAAATTGTACGAATACTATTTTTACTTTGAAAATAAAAATTACTTTAACATAATGATATCAAGTATCAACTACAAGAATCTACTACAGTTTTACCCTTCTAACTTTAACTTTAGCAAATTCGTTACTTAGGGAATCGTAATCTAGAGTGGCAGCCATTGTAGATTCAATAGAAATTAATGATAGATTTCTAAGTTTTCTTTGGCTTATTGAACTTCTTAAGTAGCGTTTTATTAATCTTAATTTGGAAAAACTTTCCATTTTAGTGGGGGACGTCACGAAAATGCACACTAAAAAAGGATTTTTGAAAATTTCAACCTCCCTCGAGGGAAGAGGAGGAGAGAGTCAATTTTAGTCGGTATAAAGTGTAAATAATAAACAAAGAAAGTAAATAGTGACATATATAGTATACATTTTGGCAATTAATAAATATTTTAATAATTTCCATCTTTTGGACAACCCAAAAACAATAAATAGAAAATTCGAAAAATTCGAAATATTGAATTTGAAATATATAACAAGTTTTTTTTTAGATTTTAAAATTTAAAATTTACCATATAATTCAAGTAAAGCAAGCAAGTAAGTTAATTCTCCATTATAATGAAATTATTTTTTTTTATTTTATAGGTTATTTAAATAAAAATTCTTTTTGAATACTAAAGATTTATTCTATTAAAATTCAATAATGATTTTAATCAATTTTTTGCGTTTTTGACTGCGTTTTAGTAGGATACACCTTGAGAATGCACACTAAGAAGAAATTTTTGGAAATTATCCCTGCAGGAGAGAGGGACAAGGTTAAGGATTATCTTAAAGAACTCTGCTTTACTGTACTATTTTAGATGCGGTTTTTTGCGTTTTTGCAGAAAATCGAACATATTTTCAGACCATGTAAAAATTCTCTAATTAATCTCGGAAGAGGGAGACCTAATTCTTGAATCCGGTGAAAACGGGTAAAATCGGCTATAATCTAAAAATCTTAATTTTCGCTATCGTTACTTTTTGTCCGTGCAACGTCGGGTTCATCTGATAGTAAAGAGATAACGAATATCTGTCAAATTGACAGCCAGCAGCCGTTTTGACATATGCCTTTCTTTAACTTGTCATTCTATTGTCTCCACTTCAACGTATATAAATTTAGTAAAAATAGAGCAAAAAATAACGAACGCAAAAGTAGCAAATGCAAATATTTCCTAAGCAACTCTCTCTATCACATACAGAATTTAAAAGTGGTCCAATATTACCTAAAAACTCTCTATCACACACAGGCACACGTTCCGCACCTGATATATACCCAGTTCATGCAAATGCTACTTTTTAATTCGAGTTCTTATTGTCACAACATAATCCTTTTCAATGATAATAAGTAACTAAAATTGCTGTAAAAAAAAATAATTCTCTTACCTGATCTACTTTTTAAACACAAAAAACTGAACTAGTAAAAATGCAAAAATATTATACTGATACAGATATATATCTGATTCACTGATTTAAACACAGCACAGCCACTCGCTACTTATAGAGACAAACTAACGTTAAAACCAAATATTGTCAATAATTTAAGGTCAAAGCAGAACTATCAACACGTTACACGTGCAATTGTCTTTTATGATAATTGCCGCCTCAGCTTTTAGGAGAGTCGCGCGGTATATTACAAACAAAAACAATAGCTTTGCGCTGTCTTGTCAAAAGCCTTTTGACTGCCGCTCTCCAACAATTCATTTGCACCATAAACCGAAATCAAAGGGTACCGAAAGCACTTAAGCAGAGGCGTGCGATAAATCATTAATAATATACATCAATATCGGAATAACATAGATCAATATAGAAAAGCGTTGCGTAAAAATTTTTAATTATTGAATGGTTCAAATAATATTTTGATTTCGCTGCTTATGCCGCTCCCTTACGGTGCCGCCTGATGCGGCCGTGCCATAATGCATCACTGCATCATAGCACAGCACGGCTCTGACCTTAGAGTGGAATTAGAGACGGTCCTGCTAGGTGTGCGGAGTGTACATGCACACGGGCTGCCAAATCCCGAGGGTGCCGATACCGGTCAATTTCAAATGCCTCTTTTGTCGCATCACTGATATACCTCAAAAGACGCGACAGGGTTCTTGTAAATTTTAAACGTTTCTCACCACAGCTGTAAAAGTCTAAATACGTTAAACTTCATAGATTGTCCATCGTTTGTTTTCTAACTAATTCGTTTTAGGACCAGGTGTTGTCCACGGAAATTCCCAAAATTTACAACTTTTCGGTCACTCTCGTCGAACTGGAAAAATGTCTGTCTTTATTACATCTAATATTTCGAAGAAATCAGTCCCACTGTACTCGGCTAGAGATTGGTTCAGTTAGGCTTTTTCTAATATGGAGATTCTGGTTGGATCGTGCCGGCGCTTCGAAGTGGACTCTCCAACTAAAACAGCGGTGCCTGCAGTGAAAACTCTGTGTGGCACCGCAGGTGGCACCCCTGCCTGTAACCTAGGCGGGGTTGGAAGCCCGCCCACGCGCATCTCAACAGATAAGGCCATTCATATACTGGCCACAAGCTTACAATTAAAATATCGAAAAGTGAAAAAAATATTTTTTCCTTTAATTTTCTTTACCACTGAGGCACCCCCTAGAACTTAGCGCCTGGAGCGGCTGCTCAGTTCGCCCTATGGTAGGGCCGGCTCTGGTTATGTGTTACTTGTAAAATACAAAAATTTTTTAAAATTTATATGTCGGGTTATAGTGTGTATAAGGATGTTTTTAGTTGACTGAGGAGGGGCAAAACAAAGCCCGAAATGTGTGTATAAACACGTCTCAACAAAAGCTGAAATAAATGAATGAGTTATGCCAAGTGTTGATTATTATGCTGCATTGCAGTTTTGAAAAACAAATATGAAGTTATGTATTATGAAGAACCATTTTGTTGGATGAATTTGCATTATTTATGTAATTTAAACTCAAATATGTTCAATTTTTTTGTTTGATATTTTATATATAATATAAATGAAAGCATTTGGAGAGCTTTTATTTTGTTTCTTTTTCATTTACCATTGTCTTGCAGTTTCCAATTTTGAAGTTTTTTCTATGAATACTTACTGACATTTAATGTGATATGTACTGTACATAATAAACATCATTAGGAAATATAAAATATCTTTAATTAATTTTCAAGTAAGAAGACAATACTAAAAACAAATTTTCATTCAACATTTTTTAAGTCATAAAGCAATGAGTAAAACAAAAGTCAGTAACTTATTGCAAAATATAAAATAACAATTTCATGAAGTAGACTAAGTTTGAATTGCCTATTTTGTGAAATAGCAAAAAAACTGCTTAATTCACAAAATGAGCAACATTCCTGGAGTGAACATAACGTATACAAATATTTCAAATATAGAATATTTTATATTCTATAAAAAATTTTGAAAATTTATTGAATTTCTGTAGTCTGTAATTGAATTAGACTAACTTAGTTTCTTTTTTTCTTTTTTTTTTTTTACAAAGATCACATACATAATTCAAATTTCTAGAAAAGTAATTTTTGTCTTAATCTGTTCAATCATAAATTATCTTGTATTCTTCTTACTGATTTTATACTATTATCATTAATAAATCGAGCCAATTTTAATTTATTAATGTTTACATATGTATTAATACATGTAAAATCAACAACAATCAATTAAAACAAAAATAAATTATTTAATAGCCAAACAGTAATCAAATTCTAATTATTGATGGTACTCTCCTATTTCTGGTGTTTATAAATTAATTTCTATTTGACTTAAAATTAACCTAGTTAAAATTTTGATAATTTGGTGACTAGTCTAAATATATAAAATTACTTGTCCTGACTGACTGACTGAGTCACTGATTGATTCATCACCACCCATAGCAAACTGATGAACCTAAAGAGGTGAAATTAGGTACGTCATGAAAATGTACACTAAGAAAGGATTTTTCAAAATTCCCCCGTGGGGGGAGGGAGAGCATTAAGGCTTAACCAGAAGAATGGCTTCTACTGTACTATATTTTAGATGTGATTTTTTTGTTTTCAACTACGTTTAGTCTTCATTGAGTACTTAGGTGTATTAAATTGATAACATTTCAGACGTTGTTATAAATATTTTCATATATTTCGATTTTTTAACCAAATGTTCAAACTGTTTTAAATTCAAATTTGTTATTGCATATTGGTTCAATTATAGAATGATTGTAAAAGTTCCAGAAAATTGATCAAATTGAAAATAGTTCATTTGATTCTCAACAATTATCATTATTCTCAGTGGTAGGTGTTATGTAACAATTACTATGGTTGTTGAAATACTGAATATAAATGGGGTTTGCTTGCAAAACCCCCACAGGCAAAGTCACAGGTAACAGTTAGTTTTCTATATAGTTTTATTTTAGGCACTTTACTAAGTCTGCAAGTTTTATTAAATTGAAATTTTGAAACAATTGCAATTATTATTTTATTTATTTACCAATATTATTGGATGGAAGAGAGATGATTTGGTCTGATTCCAAAATCATTTGTATAAAGAAAAATTATTATTTAATATTAAATATTTTATACTATTTAATTCACACTTGTTGCTTGGGAAAATTGCAGCACATACTCATCTGTAATCATCCTCAACTTCTTGTTAAATGTCTATAAAGCCATATTAATGAGTGGCTTCATAATCAGAGAAGAATTGGAAAAAAATCTAGCATCCTTAAATTAATGAATCTGCATCATTCTATATTGTAAACTAATATTGTGTTCTCTAAGCCAGCTTTTCTCAAAGTGGGCTCCATGGAGCCCTAAGACTCCTCAACTGAAATTCTAGGGCTCTATTAATCTTTTAAAACATTTTTAAAGTTAATGCATCAAATGCAATATTTGTTTATTTTACAAATATTTTTAGTAAGCAGTTATTTATTTGAGTCAGCAGTACACCTCAGCATGGTAGTTGCCTTTTACCCTTATCACACATCATTTGTACAACTAACATTTCATTGAATGATAAAAATAAAATGTATATAATTGTTTATTAATAAATAATTACATACAAAATTGTATAATTATGTAAAATACATAATTATATGCATTTTAATTTAATAATTCGTGAAATAATAATTTAAAAATAAAATATTAGAGTCTGCTGGCCTCGGTTCTTTCTCGTTCGTATTTGTACAAATTTATAACAAAAGATGCCGATGTGTTGTGAGTGCTCCGCAAAAAGGAATTTTCCCTAATAAGGGGACTCCACTTTACCAAGAAGTTTAGGAAACTCTGCCATACCGTATTGCATCAATATAAAAAGACAAATCATCCCTTGGTCAAGGCGTAAAGTACATATCTAAATCACTTTTACGATTGTAATTTTTGGAAATTTTTTACTCGATTTTATGGGGACAAGTGCCCAGTTTGCCCCTCCCCTCTACGGACACTGATGACTCTACTCGATACACAGAATATTTTTAACTCTTATTACAAATCAATAAATTCTATAAGAAATTTAATTCAACGAATCGCTACTTTATTTATTCGTATGGAAAGAAATATACAGTATACACTTTCCAGCAATTAATATATCGTTAATAGAACAGAACAAATATCACGTTACGTCGCTAATTAATACGATCCTGTCAATAGCCATTACTGTGTTGTAGGTGTATCGACACGTCTATAACAATAGCCATTCCAATTTTTTGATAATAGGCTTCGACTATTGACACGGGCGTGTCAGTAACCATTCATATACTTTTATAAATAGAATATTGACATATATATTTTTTCAGAATTTTTTTAAAATCTTGCAAATTAAATACATCAGAATATAAAAATCATATTGAAGTATTTATGCTTTATGTTAACATGATTTACAATAATGAAGGTACTGTATTGCATTTATAAGTTTTACTATAAATACGCATAATATTACATTTAAAGTTTAGTTTGTTTATTTTTTGGCTCTTTCAGCCCTGTTACACTTAAATATAGCTCTTTAATATCCACTGTGAGTTTGGCCAGGTCCACAATGGGATGACCCAATTTATCCGGGACAGACCGTCCAAGAAAAATTCCTGGGGAGTTGCTGGTCCCGGACTCGATCCCGAATTCCCAGCGCGATAAGCTGAGGCCTTAATCCCATGGCCCTCTGGGCATCTTGAGATTTTGAGAGCACTTTGAAGAATTTCTGAAGTTTTGATATCTTTGCTATTTTTTNGTCTCCAGAAGCTGTCGATGATGGACTGTAGGTGACGCCACTGTCTCACGAGGTCATGAATGGGGGTATGATTATTGGGCTCTGGGAGGTCAGAGATTCTTTTCCCTATCAAGAAGTGAGAGGAAGTGAGTGCTTCTGGCTCCTCGGTGTCATAATTGTGTACCAGAGGCCTGCTATTGAGGGCGGCTTCTACCCCGGTGAGTATGGTAGACATTTGTTCCACATTTACCAGACTTTTCCCTAGTATCTTGCGGAGGCATCTCTTCAAGCTCCCCACCATTCTCTCCCACCATCCTCCCCACCAAGCCGCCTTCTCCACATTAAAGACCCAAGTGATGCCGTGGTGAGCAGAGTAGCGGACAAGCTGCTTATCAGAGAGTGACTGCCAGAGATCCCATAGTTCCTTGTTGGCTGCGTGGAAGGATTTGGCATTGTCGGAGTAAATCTTGCGAGGGAGGCCTCGTCGTCCTACAAAGCGCTGTAAACAAAGGAGGAAACTGTCTGTTGACATGCTCGAAGACAGCTCTAGATGTACAGCTCTCGTTGTGGCGCAGGTGAACAGTGTAATGTACGACTTTTCTATCGACTGACCCTTTCGGATATACAGTGGGCCGGCAAAGTCTACCCCTGTGACTGAGAAAGGCAGAGAGGGTAATACACGGTCAGGAGGGAGGGGGGCTTCGGTTTCTTGGTAAGGCTGACTCCTGTGGCGCTGGCACGGTAGGCATCTATGCAGCACGGTCTTAATGACTTGGCGAGCTCGCAGGATCCAGAACTCTTCTCTCAGGTTGGCAAGAACCACACGAGTGCCCAGATGCCCCAGGCGTAAGTGGCAGTCCATGATGAGGAAACGGGTGAAGGTGTGTCGGCCATCTAGTAGAATTGGATGCTGTGTGGAAGCGCGGACATCTGCAAATTGCAATCGGCCCCCTACTCTTAGGATCCCATTGGACAGGAATGGTTGGAAACGATAAATGGGTGATTTTTCTGATATGAGTGTACCGGAGTTGAGTGCTATTAACTCGTTAGCAAAATATGTCTTCTGTACTGATCTGATCCAGTGGTCTCTCGCTGAGCTTACTTCGTCTGCTGAGAGTTCTCCTTTCGGGTGGTTATTCCGGGGGTGAATTTTACAAAGTGTAATGAAGCGGAGGATCCATGCTGTTACTCGGAGGAGGCGTATGTAGCTACTGAAGCGAGATGTATCTAACAATTCGATATGGGCTGCAGTGTGCAGGGTGACCACATGTTTGCGTTCTTCTGCGGCGCAATCGGATGGTGTCGGATGGTCATTGGCCGGCCAAAATTCTTCTGTTTGTGATAACCACGGGGGACCGCGCCACCAGGATGTGCAACTGCGTAGGTGTTCTGCCGTTAGGCCTCGGGATAAGTGGTCAGCTGGATTGTCTGTGCAGGGACAATGGCGCCATTGATTTGGGTTGGTGATGCTTTGAATCTCCGTCACTCGGTTTTGTACAAAGGTCTTCCATCGATTGGGGTGTCCACGGATCCAACCTAAGATCACCTTGGCGTCACTCCAAAGGACAGCGCCCTCTCTTTGAAGGTTGGTTTCAGTAGTAACGTATTTTAGCAGGCGACAACCCACCAGGGCTGCAAGCAGTTCTAGCCGAGGTAAGGTAACCCTTTTGATGGGGGCTAGACGAGCTTTGCTGCAGAGAAGACATGTGGAAATGCCTGATGGAAGATTGGTACGGATGTAAATGACAGCACCATAGGCACGCTCGCTAGCATCACAGAAGACGTGGATTTTTGTTAGATGTAGGTTAAGTTTTGTCATTTTGATCCATCTTGGTATGGACACAAATGACAAATGCTGTAGGTCTTTTACCCAGTGTTTCCAATGAGTTGAGATGTCTGCTGGCAGGACTTCAACCCATTGGAGTCCGCGGAGCCAAGTGTCTTGGAAAATGATTTTCCCGGTAATGGAGACGGGTGCGAATAATCCGAGAGGATCATAGAAACGGGATGTTGCGGCAAGTAGCAGGCGTTTCGTACCGGGGCGTTCCACCGCATCTGAAACGACGTCATTATAGTCTATGGCGAATTCGTCCTTTGCGGTGTCCCAGTCTACTCCGAGAATTCATGTTTTCTGGGCATATGCTATCTTTGTGTCTTCCCATAGCTTCTTCAGCAATTCCGAATTGGTAGCCCATTTTGCCATAGGAAGCCATCATATCTGTAATGTCCCGATATATTTGTATGACAGCGGGGTCGGTATCGTCTCCTGCTGAAAAGTCGTCCATATATAGACCTTTGTCCAGTATGTGGGCAGCTGAGGGATGGCTGATTGTGGAGCTGGCAGCAAGTTCCCGGAGGGCGGCTGACAGGAGAAATGGACTGGAAGCTAGTCCAAAAGGCAGGCGTTGGAACTGGTAGACAGCCAATTCCTTTGTAGTGTGTAGATGCCTCTTTTCGTCGGTGGCCACCTTAAACCAGAAGAAGCGGGTGACATCTCGGTCGTCGGGGTGCAAGGTTAGCTGGAGGAAGGCTTGACTGCCATCTCCCACTAATGCCCTTTTGTGAAGACGAAAGCGGAGTAGTGTCGCTATGATGTCCGGCATCAGGTTGGGACCCACTTCCAAGGCATCATTGAGGGCAGGGTGTCCTTTCACATGAGAAGAAGCATCAAATACGATGTGCCATTTGGAAATGTTGTGTTTACTTCGGATCGCTACGTGATGTGGCAAGTAGTAGGTCTGTTGTAATGTTGCTTGTTCGTCAACCCGTTCCACATAACCGTTGGAGAAGTAGTTGAGCATGTGGCGTGTGTACATATTGCTGAACTCTATATCTTTGCTGAATCTGCGACGTAGGGACTCAAAACGGCGCAGAGCAGTTGTGCGGTTTGTATCTGTGAGGCGGATGTTCTGCTTCCAGGGCAGACGGACCTCTGCCCTTCCTCCCTTGATCCGGAACGATTGACGGAAGCCGTCGAGCAGATGTGCATCATGGACGGTCAACGACTTCTCCTCCGACTCTCGGATGCCGAGGGTATCCAGATCCCACATTGATCGTAGTATCAGGTCCAAAGGAGTTGTAATACTATTAACCTGTACTGGGTGAATCGAGACATTAGTCCGATTACCGTTCAAAATCCATCCAAAGTGCGATGGAACTAATGTCAGAGTGTCATTTATGCGAATAGGGCTTTCCGTTTTGACAAATCGCCAATAAAAGTCGGATCCAATTAGTATTTCAATGGGTAAATCACATGACTCCTGCTGTGGATCTGCAAGTTCTAGTGGTGGCATCTCTCTGACGGGATAGGCGAACTGTGATACGGTCGGATGAGGGAGGTAAGTATTCGAAGATTCTGCAGCTATTAAGGATGTAGCAAATCTGCTGACACAGCTGGACAGAGTGAGTCGCACTCGACGACGTGATGTGTAGGTACTAGCATCAGATTCAAAGGCTTGAATTGCCAACGGTTCGTATCCAATCACTTCCAGTTCTAGCGAGTCAATGAGGGGGGTGCCAACGAAACTCCTTTGGCTTCCTGGGTCTAAGATACATCTAACTTGTCTTGCGGTGCCCTTTGCTCCATGAACCCAAACTCGAGCTGTCTGTAGATACGTAAAGTCTGAGTGCACGTCAATTTTACTCACTGTGGCTCGAGTTGTGCTAATAGTTGAGGGAGCAAACCCCGGTGCAGATGTTGCGGGTTGGGTCATAGGTGGTGTTGGTCTGTTAGCAGCGACTGTCGTGTGAGTCTGCGTTGAGTCTGTCTCACATATCGAAACGTGATGATTGCGTCCACATCGTCGACATGTCCGTTTTCCTCGTCGGGGACAATTGCGAGCGGTATGGTTTTGGCCTAAGCACAGAAAACAATGGTTGGTCTCGCGCAGTTTCTCTGCACGTTTTCTCAGATTTGTTATGAGTGCGCAATCAGAACTGAAGTGGAGGAAGCTGTTGCAGAAGGCACACGGGGGATAGGATGATTCTCTCCCTTTAGTGTTTCTTCCCGAGGACTTATTCCTCGTCCGGACTGCTAGAGCGGCTGCTGTAACTCGGGGTTCTTTTCTTGTCAGAAATTGGTCCTGTGTTCCATGGATAGTAGCAGCAGTGGTGATACCGTCTATTTCGTCTCCCACAAATTTCAGCAATAGTTCCAGATCGGATTCACTGATACCCTTATGACAGGCATGAATGAGCTATCGTTCACACAAAGAATCTAGGAATACACGAAGGATTTTCGGCGTTAGGATGCGTCCATAATGGCTAATGGGCTCTCCCAGGGCTTTCAGGGCGTGCACTCTATTGTTGCACTCCACGAAGAGGTCGTTCAATTTGGCGGCGGTCGGATGGATTAAAGGTTGTAGACCGTCTAGGTAGTCGATGTGGGCCTGAATTATACGGTTCTTATCTCCATATTTCTTCAGTAGTCGAGCCTTGGTCACCGCGTATGTCCCTGCGGTTATGGCGATGCCATCTACTAGGCGCTTAGCCTCACCGCGAAGATATCCCCGAAGGAAGACATGCTTTTCAATGTCCGGTATATTTGGGTCCTCATCAATGGCCGCTGTGAACTGTTCCCAGAAGCGTTGCCATTTAGCTATTTCTCCTTCAAACGATTCAAGGACCAAGGCGGGCAATCTGGTGCGAGTGGGTGCCTGTGGTTGACCAATAAAGGACGGAGAGTCGGGACTGATGGGGCTTGCCGGGGTGAGGTCGGATGCGGCGTTCCTACGGTCGAGAACTCGTTGGGCTCGAATCACGGCAAGTCGGGTAGATTCTTCTCTCTCTTCACAGGCAGCGGCGTCGGTTTCGTATTCCGTGTCCTCGAGTTTATCATGAATAGCTTCATCTAATATCTTTAACTCCCTAAGCCAATTGTTCAACATGTCACGGGACAGTTCGATTTCATCGGACGGCGTCGGGTCCGAAATGGCGTTGATCTTGCCGATCATCTTCGTCACGGACGTTCTTATGGTATTACGGCAGCGTCGGAGCTTACTCAATTCCTTGGTGGAATTTGGATTTGTTCCGTTCGGAAATGTTTCGGTCATGTTTCGGTCATGTGACGGTGGGGTAATGAAATCAGTTCTGCGAACAACGGAGAAGACGGGCAATATGGCGGCGAAAGCCCGTAACGATGAGCGGGACGACAACGGATCGGATAACGGTAGTAACAAGGGAATTGCGTACCTGTTGATGTCGGTTCTGGCCAAATCCTGGTCACGGCACCATTTATGTCGTGTCTATGCGCAATAACCCAAAGGGATGAGACTACGGATGAGAATACGGATGAAACACTTTATTATTCGTACGGCTGGTTACACAGTCGTCAACCGTCAACAATCTAAGCGTGCGAAGCCTCGTTCAACTCGGTGTTGCCAGATGTTTTTTCCCTCTCGCTGTTGGTGGGCCCGCTCGTTGTAACATCTCTTACACACATTCAATTTTATTAAATTAACAAAAATTAACATTAATTTTAATGTTTTATTGAAAACATTTTTTCAGTAAAAACAAAGGTATGACTTGGAATCATTTTAAGTTTTTTAAAATGTAGCTTTAACTAATCTTATTTAGTCTTCATATTAAAATTTATGAAATGAGCTTGATGATTATGTAACTAAATCTTACACAAAAATTATAGATAATGAATTATAAATTAATTATTTTTAAAAATTATTATTATTATTGAAACAATAACAATAAGATGATTTATTAGATAAACCCCAATATATATAATATATATATTGAATTAATTTTAAATTCAGAAAAGATTGAATTCTTGGATAATATATTGATATTTGCACATATCTGATTTGTGAGATTTAACATTTTAAATGTGCTACTATAGAATATTATCAAGCTGCATTTCTTTCTGACATGTGTAATGTTAAAGATTAAGTGAGTGAATAGAGAGAAAATAAATAAAATCAGAAAATTTTTTTTCAAAATTTAACATAGAAATAATGAAAGTTTTTATAAGTTTAGAAGATGACATGTTTTATATTCTATATAAGAGACTGATGATTGCTTCTAAAGGTTACTAAACTTATTTAATTATGAGAAATGTTTTTGGCTCCTCTTGATCCTTCATCAGTCACAAAATTCTTACAAGAAATGCTTTAAAACAGTATTTTGAACATTCTTATTTTAAAACATTGATTAAACACTGTTATGAAACTAAATTATTTAAAATTTTTTGTGTTTTTACTTTACAAATGTTGAAAAATGTTGATTGAACATATATTTATACTATAATTTTTACAAAACAATTACTAGTTTGCATTAATAAAGGATTTTTTAAACTTTATATATTATTAATAAATGATTTTTTTAAAATTATATATAAATAACAAATCTTTAATATTTTACTGCTTCTTCATAAATTTTAGCTACTTTTGAATTAGCTCCTTAATTACCTTATTAAAATTTATTTTTTTAATATCAGTTTCCAACACTAATTTATTTCTTTTTGTAATTTTTGCATTTGTAACTTTTGCATGTTTAACAATATTATATATTTAACCTACTCTAAAACTCTTAGTGAGACATTTAACCTACATTACTGTAATTTAGTTACCTTAAGAAACAAACATTAGTCTCTTTCACATAATGATACCAAATTTTGTAGAATTTAAAGTTTTAGATTTTATTCTATTATTAGAAAAAATTCAGGTCAAACATTTTTTATCAAAATCTAAAATAGCTGAAATACAAATAAGAGCAAATACTTCACAAATCTGGATAATGAAACAAATACAGTAATACCCCAAACTTATGCGATAGGTGGGACCGAGCGATAATCGCGTAAGTCGGGGTATAATTTCGCAATTTGTGTAAAATCCAAGTCAGATATATGTAAGCTAATAAATTTTCTCGTTAATCTTATCTCATCTTTTGATTCGTTCACGGTTACAAGAAATCACCACATAGCGTCTCTCAAGTCTTCGTATATATAACAAATACAGAAAATAAATAATACAAAATAAATTGTAGCTATGTGTCAATTCTGCGCGACACATCCGAACATGTGAGCTGAACAATAGTGTGGGGAAATGAGTAACCAATAGTTGCGTGGCGCTCAAACAAAAGACGAATCGATGAGATTTGAAAATCGCGTAACTCCGGGTTCGCGTAAGTCGGGGTAGCGTAAATCGAGGTATTACTGTATATAACCACAATACATTTATCTAGTCCAGCAACTTAGTTTCCCTGTAAAACAAATGTGCATCTAATTGGAGGTTACGAATTTTGAAATACATTGTGTTCTTTAGACTTTTCCAATTTTGAATAATACATGAAGAAGGTCTTAGGAGAAGATTGAAAACATTTGTTTTTTAAAGGTACTGCAGTTATATATTTGAAATATAATTATTAATCAGTTTATTCAACAGGAAATAGTACATACCGTTTTTAAAAATATATCAAAATGAAAATGAATGTTGAAGATACCTGTAAAAGAAGTAAAATAATTTAATTTTAATACTCTGAAAAATTAAATTTCTAATTAATTTACAATAGTTTCAAATTTGTCTTATAATTTTATACTTATATTGGATATTTATTTAAATTTTAGAATTTTTTTTTTACTATTCAATACATTTATTAAATACTTAACAATGAATTTTCTCTCATTAGGTAAACCACCTGAATTTGGATTATCAAAACTTATGGATTTTGAATTAGAAATGGCATTTTTTATTGGACTACCATCAAAATTAGGACAACCTGTATCAATTGATAGAGCTCAAGATTATATATTTGGAATGGTTCTTATGAATGATTGGAGTGGTAAGAATTTATTTAAGGTTTATTTTAATTATTAAGAATTAATTTTTCAATGTAGTGTTTTCCAAACATTTAATACAGTAAGACCCTGCTTAATGCTGCCTCATTTAATGCTGATTCGATATAACGTGGTTTGCTCAAAACCTAAAAAAAGCTCAAAATTTACGCTGATTCGAATTATTGTCACATTTCATTGTTTCATATATCATATGATTATTCCGAAACACGAACCAATCAGCAAAAGGTGGCAATTCATCGTAGCACTGTACTTTCCTTAAATCTTGTTTGTTTGGTGCAATTTTGAAACAAAAATATAACATCATGGATGCCATGGGCAATATCAACTTGGCTTGGCAAGAATTAACTGACAAATGCATGAACAAAGTGTGGAAGAAGTTATGGCTGAAGGTATCCAAGAATTCCCAATGAGAAGAGCCTGTCACTGTATAGTTAGATTGACCAAGTTGTCAACCTAATTGATACAGCAGGACTAGGAGATGTAGGACAAGCAGGATATTGAGGAGTTACTGCAGATTTCTGGTGAGAGCCTTACCAACGACGACCTTCAAGAACTGACAGAACAAGGAATTCATGTAGAACTGAAAAATAGTGATTCTGAAAACGAAGAACCCAAAGCATTTCTCTACAGATTTCCTTAATAAAAGTTTGATAACAATAACTAAAACTGAAATCGTTGATCAAATTGTAGTGAATGATCCAGATTTTGAAATGAGTACAAAAACAAGATGAGGCATTTTGGATGTGATCTCCTGCTACTGATATTTGCTTAAGCAAATAAAAAGAAAGTGACAAATGAAACTACATGACTTTATCGCAAAAAAACAAGAATTTCAGAAGAGCCAGGATCTTCATTGCAAAAATGAACTTTATATTTCTGTGTGCATATGTTTGTGTTATTTAACATATATTATTATGCAAATCAATATAAAAACAACTTAAAATGAAAGTAAAATCTGTTTGTTTGGTTGCATGTTCCCATTTCCCTATTTACTCTGTGTTAAAATGACCTCATTTAACATTGTTTTGTATAGCACTTTGTCGACTAGGAAGGAATGCATCGCCCACATTAAGCAGGGTCTTACTGTATTTAAATATTACATATGTAAACATAAAAAATTTTAATATCATTTTGAAAATAATTTTTGTAGAATTTAAGTTTATTCTTGTTTGAAAGAATTTAAAACTATGCAGCATTTGAGGATGAAGTGACTTGGCTTTGAAATAAAGAACAAAAGAAATTACTTTAGTAAAACAGAAGGAAAATTTTTATGATTTAATAAAGTTAATGATATTTTTTGCCACATCCATTTTTAATGTGTATTTACAAATGAGTGAATATTATAAAATTTCAAGATATACTTAGGAAATTTAATAAAGTATTAAAATATAATGGCATGTTAATTGAGAAATCTCTATTCTAAAATATAAATCAAACTATAGATGATTAATTATTATGCATAAGTTAATTTCTTTTGTAATTTTGATTTTGTTTTTGTAACCATTATGTTATGATAACTAATAATAAATTTTCATTCTTTGAATTAATTTCCTTTCTTGCCATAAAATTTAAAAAAATATCAAAAAGGATCAGAAAGTGAACTTTACATATAGATATTCTGTAAATTAGCAAATTTCAAGATTTTATTATTTTTATTTTTATAAATTAACAAATGAAAGTTTTATTTTATAGCTCGAGATATTCAGAAATGGAACACTAATTTATTTCTTTTTGTAACTTTTGCATTTGTAACTTTTGCATGTTTAACAATATTATATATTTAACCTACTCTAAAACTCTTAGTGAGACATTTAACCTACATTACTGTAATTTAGTTACCTTAAGAAACAAACATTAGTCTCTTTCACATAATGATACCAAATTTTGTAGAATTTAAAGTTTTAGATTTTATTCTATTATTAGAAAAAATTCAGGTCAAACATTTTTTATCAAAATCTAAAATAGCTGAAATACAAATAAGAGCAAATACTTCACAAATCTGGATAATGAAACAAATACAGTAATACCCCAAACTTATGCGATAGGTGGGACCGAGCGATAATCGCGTAAGTCGGGGTATAATTTCGCAATTTGTGTAAAATCCAAGTCAGATATATGTAAGCTAATAAATTTTCTCGTTAATCTTATCTCATCTTTTGATTCGTTCACGGTTACAAGAAATCACCACATAGCGTCTCTCAAGTCTTCGTATATATAACAAATACAGAAAATAAATAATACAAAATAAATTGTAGCTATGTGTCAATTCTGCGCGACACATCCGAACATGTGAGCTGAACAATAGTGTGGGGAAATGAGTAACCAATAGTTGCGTGGCGCTCAAACAAAAGACGAATCGATGAGATTTGAAAATCGCGTAACTCCGGGTTCGCGTAAGTCGGGGTAGCGTAAATCGAGGTATTACTGTATATAACCACAATACATTTATCTAGTCCAGCAACTTAGTTTCCCTGTAAAACAAATGTGCATCTAATTGGAGGTTACGAATTTTGAAATACATTGTGTTCTTTAGACTTTTCCAATTTTGAATAATACATGAAGAAGGTCTTAGGAGAAGATTGAAAACATTTGTTTTTTAAAGGTACTGCAGTTATATATTTGAAATATAATTATTAATCAGTTTATTCAACAGGAAATAGTACATACCGTTTTTAAAAATATATCAAAATGAAAATGAATGTTGAAGATACCTGTAAAAGAAGTAAAATAATTTAATTTTAATACTCTGAAAAATTAAATTTCTAATTAATTTACAATAGTTTCAAANTAAAAAGTGATATTGTTTGTATTTCATCAAAAGTCAATTTTCAATTGTTTCCTGTTGAGGTGAATGTGCTTTGATCTCTTTCTGCAGCATGTCACTGTGCATGTTTGGTGCTTTATTTTATAATAGTTGTCAAAAGCGTCATGGGCAGTAAAACCGACTGTTATAAAATAAAGCACCTTCCCTTTTTTTTTGTCTATAGAGAGACATTTTCTTTTGAACATTAAAAAATCTTTTTAGTTAATGTTAAACATAGCACTTGTTTTTTCTTCCAACATAACACTTCCTAAATATCCATATATTTAAGAAGCAATAAAAGTAAAAATGAAATACACAGCTCTCTTCTTATGGGTATTCTTATAAAATTACCAATTACAAAAACTATTTCAGTAAAATTTGATTTAAAATGTTACATCAAATCAGCGAGGTTTCTTAAGAATCTCTTAGAGATTCTTTTAAAAATGATAATTAAAATCATAAATTATTTTCACATAACTGACTATATACAAATTGAAAATAAGATATTTAATTATGCACTTTTCAAACACTCAAACTTCCTCAGATGTTTAGAAAGAACAATGCAATTCAATTGTACATAGAACAGTTTTAAATTTCAAATTAAAAAATATTTGAGAAAGAATCCTCTAATTTTCTGTAGCTCTGAAGAAAGAAAATTTTTTTATTCTACAGACATAAACTTTTATTTTTAAATCCTATAATTTAAAAAAATACCAAATAGCTGTTGAGTAACATTACAAATAAGTACTGTATATTGGTGTTGAAACTTGTTGGGGCTAAGTATGTTTCATAAATTAGATTAGATGAACTTTTCTACGCACTGTAAGCTAGAACTTCTATATATTATTACAAGACACCTTTATTTGTTTTGTAATAATAGATGAACTTTGCAGAACAACAGAAGCTTGAGCTTCCTCAGAGTGTTCAAGCAAAAGTGCTTAATTAAATATTTTATTTTGAATTTTTGCATTGTTGATTATACAAAAATAACTTAGGAAACATACTTAGCCCTAACAAGTTTCAACACCAATATACAGTACTTATTTGTAATGTTACTCAACAGCTATTTGGTATTTTTTTAAATTATTGGAAGAAATAGATTTGAGAAATTTTGGCCAATCTGTCAATATTTCAATTTATATTATTTCACAACTTGCATGAGAATACTGTTCTAAAATAATGTAAATGAAAATTTTCTGAAAATTTTACGTTAATGAATTTGTCATGGACATTAAAAATTCCATATATTGCAAGGAATATTGTTTAGGAGAGTGCACTGTAACTATTGAAGTTGGTAGCAATTATGCTTGATAGAAAATATGAAAAACATTCAGTAATAATCAGTTTATATTTCAACTTCTCTATCACTTTAGAATTAAAAATAAACTGATAGCATACTAACTAAATTCTAATGTAATAAATAAATGAAACAATTTAATTATTAATAAGTGTAAAGGTGCAATTTTAAGGCATTATTTTTCATATTAAATTTAGTTTGAAAATTAATGTGTCTTTATCTAAATTCAAATTCATTGTAATAATATTTGCACAATCACAGTTAAGGGCTAAAGTGAAATCACACAGTGCTCAATATTCTTATTGTAGGATTTGTCACCAGAATAAAGTTAATACTTTTTTAGTACATGCTTATTATTTCTAGATTTTAGTTTTCCATTTTTGTGAGTTTAAAATTTATCATAGTCTGAGAGACCCCATTATGGCATGATTAATATATTTTTTCATATGTAAAATAGTTTTTTTTCTCTGGAATTTTAAAGCAGTTCAATATGGGGATTCAAATTATCAGGAATGTCTGAGTGGTATGAAGCATCTTGTATTTGGAATTATAATTTAAGTTACTTTTATTGAACCACAAAGTTCATTAACAAATAAAAATGAATAATTATTTTTTGAAACTTACTTTATCATGTAAAAGACAGCTGGAAACTTGTAAAAAATATACAAGCACACACACACGCATGCAATGTAAATACAGCAAAATGACAGTTAAGAGTTAACAGACTTTGCAAATTGCTTTAAATAACATATTTTTTCTGAAAATGATAGCTTGATTGATTTGTTAACATGAGACCCAACACATTATGACTAGTCTCAATTACTGTATGTCTATTATAAGTGGACCTGACCTGCAATGGCATTTGCTAATATGGACAAAAAATGAATAATGTCTCAAATCACACTCCATGAATGAAATCAAAGTTTGATTCAAATTTGAATCCTTTAAAACAGTAAACTAATGTCATATTGTATAGTTGTTTGACCAACATTTATACCAAAACATCTGAACAAAATTTTATAAATTTTCTAGAAAAATAAAAAAGAAAACAGGACTGCAATTAGTGATAAATCATCTATGCTGGCAATATCAACTCTTAGTTTTGTAAGCACTAACTAAATTGGCCTTTCTCTATTGCTAAACTTATTACATCACCACAGGATATCAGATAGCAATTGAGAAAGGCCAATTTAGTGCTTACAAGCTAATACAAAGACTAGACAAGAAGCATATCATAGTAATACCAAATCTTATTTATTTTTTGAAGTTACATTAAAAACGTTTCTGCATTTTTGAAATACATGCATAAATGTATTATAATAGTCTGAATCTTTTAGAGTTTCCTTGTATAAGTTTTCATCATTATCTAGTTCATTAAATGTAAGACTAGCTATCAAAAATGATGCAGAGGAAATAAAAAACTGTCAGTTTTAATCTATACTATAGCATCAGAGTAATTTATTTTCTCAAATGTAAGTGAATTGAATCTCAGAACAATCTGTTAAATTTATAATAATTTTTAAGTTGTAAGAAAAATTTGAATTGAACACAATTGCCATAGAAACACACATTCTAACAATAAAAAGCAGTTTACATAGTTTACAATAAATATATACAAATATATAGACATAAATTACATTATTAAATATTTTCAAGTTTACGTATATTTAAGAAAACTAGTATGTTTCAATAAAGTAATACCACTAAATTTTATTTCAGTATCAGAAAAAATTTTTTCAGTTTTCTGAAATTATTAGAAAATTTTTCAAAATTCTATTGTAATGGTGTGTATATATATATATATAATTTTCAAATCTGAATAGAAAAATTTTACAAACCTTAGTGAGTAAATCTTTTTTAACTATTTCTTCTTGTAATCTATTTATGTCTGAATCTATACTTTGTAAAGCTTGCCTTCTTTCTTTAGTATCTGGTCCATATTTGTGTCCTAAAATCAAAAGAAAAATTGCACTTTTGAAAGTTCATTAGAAAATGCGACTTATTTACCTGTGGCATCTACTGCTTCATAATAAATTAATGATAATTGCTGCTCATTATTTTTACATTTATCCAGAATATCATTAAATATCTCCTTTTCATTGTCTTTCATGTTTATCCAATCTGAGTAGGGTATGTATGGTTTGCACAAGGATGCTTTGATGCCATCAATTTCCACTTGACAGCCATCCCACCAGTAGGAACCCACTCTGATTCCATTCTTCTCAGCTGTTATCCACAGAGGTTCTGTGTAATTCCACCAGTGTGGATGGAATGCATTTTTATTTGGTGCCATTAGGAAATATTCGCCATTTTTCTCATCATACATATAGTTTTGGACAAACCCATGATTCTCAGCATGGCGACCTAATGCAAAATTTTTAAAATTTATTAAAATAGGTTAAGAATAAAAATAATATATTTTAATTTGAAATATAAGTAATTTTAATTGTTGTTTTA